CCCAGGCGGGTCTCGAACCCACGGGCTCAGGCAATCCACTCACCTCAGCCTCCCAAAGGTGCGGGATTACAGGCTGAGCCACCGAGCCCGGCTTAATGTTTTTATTTACTATAGAGACGAGGTCTCGCCAAGTTGCCCAGGCTGGTCTTGAACCCCTGGGCTCAAGCAGTCCTCTTGTCTTCACCTCCCAAAGTGTTTGGATTACAGGTGTGAGCTTCCATGCCCAGCCTGTTACAGGGAGTTAATGGGGACCTTAGGCTCAGACCCTCTGGCCTGCAATGAAGCCAGCTGTGTAAATCAAGTGCCTAGCAGAGAGCCAGGCAGGCACACAATCAGCATGAGTCACGGCCACTGCTGCTGGTCACTTCTGAGGCACTCACGTGTCACCTTGAACATGCTAGGAAAACAAATGGGAAAAATCACAAAAATCTCCATTCTGGGGGCACATTTTCAGCAGTGTTCATTATTGTGAAATTCTGGAGGTAACAAAACAATTCAATGGTGACCTTGATATTTGTTGTGATGGGATCTGAAACCAGTTCCAAGGTCTGAACACACAGACACAACCGCTCTTAGGTATTAAGTGGAGAGGGCTGGTCAAGTTGATGTTGCCATGGAAACCCAGCCAGTCTGGGAATAGCTACACGGGGCCTGACAATCTTTGTTCCACAATGTCTCCTAAGTCTGCTAACTTTTGCACTGCCTGGTATCTGTGGCTCAGTCAAGCCCTCTCCTGTGACACACACAGCCCCGCTCTTCATCAACTGCATTGGCCACGAGAGATGCCACATCAGCGAGGTCGATTCCTCTCCCACCTCCTTCTGTCAGGTTCAAGACAACAGAGCCCCAGCTGACTAGCTAGGGGCACAGGAAACACACAATGGGAAGAGGAAGCAGAAAACCTCCACCCTTTTCCAGGCTGCTGCAGTAGCAGCAGCAAGAAGCCACCTCCTCGGCAGTGGAAGTGGGCGGAAGCTGCTGTCAGAAGGGCAGCTGATTCCCTATCAATAGCACCTCCCTCTCCTGCTGACCCCCCAGAACAAAAAGATGCTATGTCAGCAGCTCCCGCAGAAACAATGGGATCCTGTTGGGTGCCGGGATTCTACCAGCCTCTAGATGGCGCCAAGTCAAGACAAATGCCGATAGGAATCAGGGCTTCCAGCAAGCTAGGTATGAGGCCTCACCACCCTCTCTTTATAATTCCTGCTCCGAGATGACTCAGGTAGAGAGCAAGCTGTCTCTGAGAGAGATTTCCCATGCAGCTTCACATGTGGACCAGCCTGGAGCCTGCGGGAGAAGTGCCTGCTGGGAGAGTCTCTGCCACTGGACAGCTGGATGGGGGGAAGCCAGCAACTCCTCCCTGGCAACTCACCTGGAGAAGGCCTGACTCCTGTCTCCAGAGGGCAGATGGGAAAGAGGGCAAGGCCACCCCTGGACAGTCCCAGGAGTACTACAGTCTCCTGCCCCATGCCTGGTGGGCTCGGAGAAGGCTAGGCGCCGTGAACCTTCCAGTCAGCTCAAACTGAGTAGACAGAATAAGGCCATGGCGACAGCCAGGTTGTGGAAACAAACATGGGGAGGCAGACCCTGGAAAGCTGCCCCTGGGGGCCCTGTGGTGCTGGCAGCACGCGGGCTCCCAAGCAGCACCTCCAGAGCCTGGGGATGGGCTTCCAGCACCTGTTTCCCTTAGATGCCACCAAGAGTCAGTGACCCAGGACTGACAATTCTGTCCACACTGTCACCTTGTGAGTAAACTGTGCTCGTTTAAAACCCTGTCCTTTGAACTGGGCAACAACAAGATGCCATATGGTGGGAGGCTCTGAGGTCTGGTACCCCTGTGGCACTATGCAAAGCCCAGGGAAAGGCTGGCCCGTGGGACAGACACTCCAGAGAAAGGCAGGCAGGACAGAACCGCCGACGGGGCAAAGTGGGATGGCACACGCAGGTTGCCATTAAAACCAGAGGTGCTAATCTGCTGCGATGCCAAGTGATCACAGTTGTTTCTTGCCTTCCTAAGAGGCTGTGTGGCACAAGATCACATGTTCATCAAAACGTGACAGGTGGAAGAAGAGAGAGGAAAAGGGCAAGTACAACCCACTATTAAACAGGTCTCTAACAGCCTCCCACCTCTAGCCCTTTCCTAATCCCATCCCATCAACAGCAGGTGGGACAGCAACACCAGTAGGGAGCTCAGGGGCAGGAAAGGCTGTCAGCCACAAGCGAAGGAGCAGGGACTGCACCTGAGTCTGACACCAAAACCGCACTCTTCACTTGCAAGAGTTTTGGGAGAAACCTGCAGCTCTCTTGGTATAACTCTGATAATCCCTATACAAAGGCAGGGGGCCAGTTTGCAAGTCCACTGATGCTACTTGGCTAATTCCCTTTCCTTCCATGTTTCAAACCTCAGCTCCAAGAGCCAGGGTCCGTTTCGAGGCAGGCCCCATTCCTCCAGTGTTGGGCCGTTGCTCCCTCCATCCACACAACACAGGGTCAGTCTGGTGTGTGCCAGCGGGCTCTTGAGCAACCCTGGGCTAGCAGTACTCACTGTGAGCCTCCACCAAGTCGATCTGCATGTTGTAGGGGACCAGAGGATCTGGTAGTTCTGAGAAAAAGCTCTTCATGGCACCGGCCACAGTGTTCACTGTAAAGTCTTTCTCTGCCAAGTCCAGGTTGTGGTCTGAAAGCAAGTCAGGAGAGTGAGGCCAAACTGATCTAAGCCAGGCAGAACCAACCCAGGGCTTGAGAGAATCCAGGGAAACTTCCAAGACCCAGGACGCTGCCCAGGGATGGCCTACAGCCTGGGAAGGACCCTCAGGACTAGCAGGGATGGGAGAGGTGGCACCCCTGGGTGTTGCTGAAATGAGTTCTGAGAGTCACAGACATAAGCTGACACCCAACTCCTCTTGCTGAGCTTGCTGAATTGCCCCATCAGCTGTCATCTGGGTAGAGGAGTTGCACCCCATCCTGATTTTCTGTGCCTCCACTTCCCTGCAACTGGCTTTGACGTGTTGCTCCCTCTTCCTTACTCCTCTCCCCTCTCGCCAGGCAAGAAAGGGGAGGCTTTCCTGAAAGGCTGGCTCACTGTTCAGGTGAGTAGCAAAAATGTCACCAGTGATCTTGGCTGCTGCCTCCGTCCTTGTCCCCGGGGTGGTGGTACAAACAGACTAATGCTGACAGCATCACTGTTCCCTGTCTCTTACTTTCCTTCTTTTTACAAACTTAATTGCATTCCCAGTTACGAGGAAACCATCGACTGATGGACATTACCACTTTCCATTTTTGGGGATATAAGTTATTATAGATTCTTGCACACATCCGAGTATATATCCCCAAATGAATTTTTTTTTGCATATATACAAAAATATCCCCTTTTCTGTGTGGTCATCTCTGCCTACTGTCAGCTGACTGAGCCTGTGTTGCTGCAAAGTGCTGAAGCTGCCTGCCTGGGTGGGCGGGCTTGGTGTCTGCTCCACGCTGGGCCTTCTCTGGCCCCATGCATCCCTGCTTGCCTCTTGCCCTGGCCACTGACAGCTGGGAACACTGACAGCTCTGGCTTGTTTGCTTCTGGCACTGGTGGACATGGCTTCTCACCCTGCAGCATGGACACTTTCAAGAGATAGAGTTTGCCGGGCATCGTGGCTCACGCTTGTCACTTTGGGAGGCCGAAGTGAAAGGATTGCCTGAACCCAGGGGTTCGAGACCAGCCTGGGCAACTTGGTGAGACCTCGTTTCTACAATAAATTAAAAAAAATTAGCTGGGCATGGTGGCTCGTGTCTATAGTTCCAGTTTCTTGGAAGACTGAGGCGGAAGGATCACCCGAGCCCAGCAGGTTGAGGTTGCGGTGGTCGAGAGTGTGCCACTGCACTCTAGCCTGGGCGACAGAGTGAGACTTTGACTCAAAAAAATAAAATAAAATAAAAATTAGCCAGGTGTGGTGGCGCATGCCTGTGGTTCTAGCTACTTGGAAGGCTGAGGCAGAAGGATCACCTGAGCCCAGCAGGTCAAGGCTGCGGTGGCTGAGAGCATTCTACTGCACTCTAGTTTGGGTGACAGAGAGTGAGACTCCGACTCAAAAAACAAAAACAAAAACAAACAAACAAAAATGAGTTAGAGTTTGGTTGCCTGGCTGGCTCTAGGTCTCTCAGTGCTGACCTGGCTTAGGAGAAGGGAGTCTCTGCACCTCTCACGAGTTCAGCTTTAGGGGTCTGGGTCCTAAGGTTCAGCTCATCACAAAATGTCCCCTCGCTTTTGTGCAGGGACTTTGTGGGGACAGTAGTTGTGGCTGAGGGCACTCATGGGGCCCTGGCAAAACAGGATCATCATCTCAGCCCGACTTCTGTGTCGTGCCTGCGACTACCACTGCAGGCCAATGGCGGCAAAGTCCTTCAGCGGCGAGGCCTGTGCCAGGGCAACCTAGAACAGAGAGTTTGTGGATTGTGATGTGGGGGCAGCTGGCTGACTCAGCCTTAGCAGGCATGGTGCCTTGGTTCACTGATGAGACCTGGCCCCCTCCCCTCCATCACAATGTGGCCAGAGGCAGAGTCAACTGGGGCCAAATGTGGTCTCCTCCTTAGTCACTGAGTCAGCATCTCTTGGCTGTAGGTCTGTGGGAGGCAAGAATACCCAGAGTCCCCACAGACAGCCCGGTATTGTGCCTGCCTCTATTGGCTCCAGCCTGTGATGCCTGGCCAGGCCGTGTCTTACCTTGATCAAACTGTCTTTGTAGACTCTCCATCTCCGATTTGTTCCCGCTGACTCGGTAGATGCCTTCTGTGCTCAATCCTGGGGAGAAAATAGCAGGGGTCTTAGGAGCAGAACCCAAGAGCAGAGAATGTGGAGAACTGGGCTTGAGGAAACACGGAGAATGCTAGGAGAGTCCATGAGACGCCCACCGTGAGAGGCGCAGGCTAACACACTCTGTTTTGGTTTTTCTAGATGCTTCAACCCACCTTCTCATTTTCTTTTTCACTTAAAAAGTTTAAAGCACTTTTTTTGGGTAAAAATTTAAAAATATATAGAAGCACAGCAGCTAAAGATAACTTTTGCCCACATTCTGATGTGTATACTGTTGAATTTTTCACTTATTTTAAAAATAGAGATAATACTATAGTGTAAACCACCATTTTAATTTTTTTATTTTTGAGTTGGAGTCACACTCTGTCGCCCAGACTGGAGTGCAGTGGCTGCTCCCGGCCACTGCAGGCTCAACCTGCTGGGCTCCAGCGATCCTTCCACCTCAGCCTTCCGAGTAGCTGGTATTACAGGCACGCGCTACCACGTTCGGCTGATTTTTGATTTATTGTAGAGATGAGGTCTTGCCAAGTTGCCCATGCGGGTCTCGAACCTGCGGGTTCAGGCAATTCACTCACCTCAGCCTCCCAAAGGCACGGGATTACAGGCTGAGCCACCGAGCCCAGCTCCACTATTTTAATTTACAAAGTATGTTGTGAACTTATTCTAATCACTATATGTTGTTCTTCTTCTTCTTTTTTTTTTTTGAGTTGGAGTCACTCTGTTGCTCAGACTGGAGTGCAGTGGCATGCTCCCAGTCACTGCAGCCTCAACCTTCTGGGCTCAGGCGATCCTTCCGCCTCAGCCTTCCAAGTAACTGGAACTACAGGCATGCAATACCACGCCTGGCTAATTTTTTTACTTATTGTAGGGACGAAGTCTTGCCAAATTGCCTGGGAGGATCTTGAATCCGCGGGCTGAGGTAATCCACTCGCCTCGGCCTCCCAAAGTGCTGGAATTAGAGGCTGAGCCACTGAGCCCGGCCTATTCTTTCTTTTTGAGTTGGAGTCTCACTCTGTTGCCCAGGTTGGAGCACAGTGGCACACTCACGGCCACTGCAGTCTCGACCTGTCGTTTGGAGGCGACTCTTCCACCTCAGTTGGAACTACAGGCACGCACCACCATGCCCGGCTAATTTTTTGATTTATTGTAGAGATGAGGTCTCGCCAAGTTGGTCTCTTGCCCAGGCTGGTCTCGAAACTGTGAGCTCAGGCAATCCTCTCACCTTGGTCTCCCAGAGTGCTGGGATTATAGGCGTGAGCCACCGTGCCTGGCCAAATGTTCTTATTCTTTTACAACATAATTTTAGAGACACCATAGTACACAGTAACTTTAAAAATATTTCATTAATCATTTAGGTTTTTCCAAGTTTTTACTGTTAGAAGTAATTCACAATTTTTTTTTTGACAACTAGTAAGTTCAATAGATTCTTGAAAATAAATATTTCTTACTTTGTGACTATCCCACTCATGTTCTTGTTAATATCCCAACTGGGGTGATTCTTATTTTGTTCTTTAAAGAGGTTTATGAATATTAAGTTACTATACCAATGTTACACACATTTAGATTTTTTTCTTGTTATCTGTCTTCTAATTATGGTTTTAATTTTTTGATGTACATAATTTAAAAATTATAAGTGTTCAGAACCGGCCATTTTCTTTATGATGTTTTCATACTTAGAATAGGTTTTGCCCTTTCTACAGTAGATATTTTTTTTCCCCTTCTTGTTCTTTTATCATTAAAAAAAATCATTTAGGCTAGGCTCGGTGGCTCATGCCTATAATCCCAGCACTTTGAGAGGCTGGGGTGGGAGGACTGCTTGAGCCCAGCCAACATAGTGAAATCCTATCTCTACAAAAACAACAACAAAAAAAAAATTAGCCGGGTTTGGTGGCATGCACCTGTAGTTCCAGCTACTCGGGAGGCTGACGTGGAAGGATCTCCTGAGCCCAGGAGGTCAAGGCCACAGTGAGCCATGATCGTGCCAGTGCACTTCAGCCTGGGTAACAGAGTGAGACTCTGACTCACAAAAAAACAAACAAACCCAAAACCACATCATTTAACTCTGTGATTATTCTAGAACTTATCTGGTGTGTAGTATGAGGTGAGAGAAAAAAGTAGTACAAATCAATTAAACAAACAACATAGAAGTATATAAAGTATCAAGTGAAAGACCTACTGACTCCCCCACCACACCTGGCAAAAGAAACGTTGCTTGGCTTGGAGAAGATTCCAAGCACTGTCTACCGAGCCCACTCTCCCTGTCCTAGGGAAGGAAAACCCACTGTGCACTGCCAAGATCTGAAGGATGTGAAGTCACTGCGAAACTGAGATGGGATAGCATGGCTAAAGCAACTTGGGTCCCTTCTGAAGGCTGTGGCTTTGAGTGGCACAGAGGAAGTATGCTGGGTGCCACCACCGAACACCACAAGTCGTGTGAGCAGCGGAGAGAACTGGCTCCTGCGGGCCAAGTGGACCTACTGGTTACCACTGCAGCTGCTGCTCTGGAGAGGCAGCCAGCGGGAGCGATACAAGCAATCAGCCTGCCTGCTTTCTGGGGTCCCAGACCGGTAGCAGGTGAACTCTCAGAAACATAAGAGCAAAAGGCATCCACTCCCTGGTTTAAAAGCTGCTAATTGCGCAAAGGTCTTTCTTTCACCCCAGAGAGGAGGGGGCTAATGGACCGGTCCCCAGGACACCCTACCATGCAACGCCTAATTACAAAGGAGTGCCATTGCTGTATCCGCCTGGGAGAAGGGTTGACACTTTCCAAACCTGAGCCGTCACTATGTTGTGCACTGAGCTAGGCACTTGCCCATAGCCAGCCACCATTCGCATGCTTACTAAGTGAATGACGATGCCATCTGATCCTCCCTCCTCACAGGAGGGGCTACTAGATGGGTAGAGAGAACAGATGAGAAAAGCGAGGTTCAGAGGGGGGAAATCCTTGTCCCAAACCACAGAGCTGCTAAGAGGTAGAGTGGTCTGGGTCTAGGGCCTTTGCCCCTCTTCTGTTTCCATACTGTTCCCGAAAGACACCTGGCTCAGGCTTATGCTTATTACTCTACCAGGGTGAGGTCCAGACCAAAGTCCCCCTGCCCCAGAAGAAATGCCAAATTTGAGTGAAGCCCAATGGCCCTGAGCATTCTGGGTAGCTTTTGAGATGGCACCCCCCACGCCAAGCTGTCAAGACCCTGCTCACCATCCCTAGTTAGTGATGTTACCATGGATTCTATCCTCAGTGGCTTTTCTGAACTGTCTTCAGACATGTTTAAACCTTCCACCTATTTTACATCTCAGATGACACATCACATGCTTACACATGAAATCACCCACATCTTGGCAAGCTCGGGGTATGTGTCAGCAGGCTCAAGTTCTCACTGCCTAGTTTGAAAAAAGGAACTATTTTCTAAGTTCTTTCTCCCCTTTCGTGATAATCAGTCCTCCCAAAGGCAGAGAAAATGAAGGGACAAATGGCAGGAGCCTTAAAAAGTCCAGAATAGTGTAGCAATGTCACCGTTTCTGAGTTTCAGAAGGGAGAGGCACTCTCTCTCTCTGAGCTGAAAACAATCCTTGCAGCCGCAGGCCACGCGTCACCTTCTGGCAACCCGGGCCTCAGCAAGGATGGTGAATTCCTCTGCATTGCCTCCTTATGGCCCCCTGCCCTGGCAGCAGAGGACAGAAACCAACTGCAAATCAGCTATCTGGAAATGATCAGAGGCGTGGGCCTGCTGAAACACCACAATTGGATCATCACAAAAATGGAAGCATCTGAAAGCACGAGCCTGGCTTCAGAGCATCAATTAATCAGCAACTTAGTATTTCCTGTAATCTGGGCACATATTTATTTTATGAAATCCCATTTTAAAATAGCAATCCTGCTGCTGTCGTACACAATACCATGGCATAATTTAGGAAAGGTATCATTTACTTGGTACAATTTATCATAACTACTAATTAGACATCAATTAAAAAACCCTGAGAGCAGACTGCAAGCACCACGAAGTCTGCCAGTGAACAGGGAGCGAGTAGCACAGGTGAGGATGAGGATGCTGGACAGAGCACGGGCAGTTTGCCAAGGAGCCGAGACCACAGCAGCAGGAAGAGGGCCAGGGTCCTGGAGCAGGTCCCCGGGCAGAGACGCTGGATTTCAAGGGTTTGTGTCCTGGGGCACCCACAGATCCACACAAACACTCCAGGAGTGACTCTGGCTCACGTCTGTCAGCAAAAACCAGAATTCTTACCAAGTGTAACCTCCACCCATTGTGTCTATTGCAGGTGCCCAAATCTGAGAAAGCTTCAGCCTGAAACTCAGAGGCATCCTTGCTTATCAGAAATCTCCAAAGACCCACTTGGCCAAAGCATAGTCTCAGCAATAGGCTTGTTTGCTTTTGTTTTTTCTTAAAACCAAAACAAAACCCTACTGGTTTCAAATATCTTCTATGTTTAAAATTAATCTTTGGAAATAGAACAAGAAAAAGTTCAGAATGGCTAAGGTCTCTATCTTCAAATATCTGAACAACTGCCATGTAGAACAGTCTTGCTCCCTTGACTCTAGGGAACAGAGCTACAACTAAGAATGGAAACTTCAGGATGGCAAACAGTCTCTCAATATATAAAATAACTATTCATAGCCACAGCTGCCATTCACTGGAATGGGCCAGAGTTTCTGAATCCCCTCCTTACCAGGCAAACATCTGACTGGGACGCTGTTTAATGACAATGATGAACCATTTACTGAATGCTCACTATGTATGAGGTGTGTGATGCTAAGTGTTCACCATGCCTTTTTACAGTAGTTCTCTCGATAACCCAATATGATAGGTCATTACTAATCCCACTTAACAGATGGGAACACCGAGGCTAAGATGTAAAGTAAAATGAATGAGGTCAGAGAGATAGTGAGTTGCACAGATGAGCTTTGAACCCCACGTGATTCTAGTGCCACCATTCTTTTTCTATTATGTTCTAAATCACTAGTTCTCAAAATTGAGCATGCACCAGAACCCCACCTCCAGTATTTCGGATTCAGCTGGTTTGGAGGGGAGCCCAGGAATCTGCATTTCTAACACATTCCCAGGTGATGCTGGGTCAGGGAGAACAGCCACTCTAGAAGATGGCCCAGGCCTCTAAGGTCTCTCTGACTCCTGAATGTTATAATTCAATAAAATCAGGGGGTAACACACCAGACAAAGTAGATACCAGACACTTTAGGAACAAAGTGCTTCCAAAAAGTATGGAAACGGTTGCTTTTTATATGTAAGAAGGCGCTTATGCATTGCTTAACATTTGAACCATGGCCATGTATGACTTTCATAAAACATCTGAAAAAATTGCTGATAAAAGCAAAGAGGTCTTATTCTTTCTTTCAATATATATTTACTAAGCAACCACATGGCAGGTAGGTTCCTTTACAGAGTTTTCAGGCTTGGTCTTCCTTAGAAATACTTTGGTGACATAAAAAGGCTAGAGAGCCCACCAATGCTAGCTGGCAAGGACTTCCTGTGGGCGAAGGCCTGGTGTATTTTAGCCCTTTGATGGCCCTGGCTCCTGAGATGCCTGTGGTCCTCGGCAGGATGGGCACTAGGAAAATGGATGGGTGCCCACAGGAGCTTGGAAACCACGGGGGAGAACCACCTCCTGCTTTGATGTGGGCCTGATTTTCTGACCTGTGCAAACTAGTTTGTATTACTGAATCCCAAGCAAGCCCTTCTCAGGCCCAGTGCTCTCGGTCAGAAGTCTCTCTGCAGTTGGCCCGGGGCGGGCGTCGCCTCTGCTGGTCACACCAGAACTCAGTTCCTCCGAAGTTTCCTTTCGAGCAAGCAATCAATACTTCCTCCGAGACAAACTCAGATTCGCTTATTTTCTACTTTCTATATTTAGATATAAAAGCTCAGCACTTCATCTCCTTTAAAAAAAGTTCACCAGCGCTGCTAGTACTCTAACATACCCCATGCCAGACAGGACTTTTTTTGACTTTTCTGGAGGTTGAAAGCACCTAGTACACCATTCCCCTTCTTGTTTTCGCAAGCAAGACTTGAGTGGAGGGCGGGCTAAGCTGCAGGGTTGGAGGGGTGCTGAGAACTTGGGAGGAGGAAAGCTCTTGTGCATCAAACTCACATTGCCTTGAAGGGGACCGCCCTCTCCTCGGTCAAATGCTAGCAGAATACTACAGGATCTCCTTTTCAGGATCACAATCACACTGTGACACCCCCCCCCCCCCCCCCCC